CCTGCACACGGGTCAGGCAATCCCAAGCACAAATACAGGCTGGGCGATGAGCGGGTTGAGAGCAGCCCTGAGGAGAAGGACTTGGGGGTGTTAGGGGATGAAGAACTGAGTATGAGCCGGCAATGTGCGCTCGCAGCCCAGAAAGCCAGTCGTGTTCTGGGCTGCATCAAAAGCAGCGTGACCAGCAGGTCGAGGGAGGGGATTCTGCCCCTCTGCTCCCCTCTCCTGAGCCCCCACCTGCAGTACTGGGTTCAGCTCCAGGGTCCCCAACATAAGAAGGACATGGACCTGCTGGAGCGGGTCCAGAGGAGGGACACGAAGATGATCAGGGGCTGGAGCACCTCCCCGATGAGGACAGGCTGAGAGAGTTGGGGTTGCTCAGCCTGGAGAAGAGAAGGCTCCAGGGAGACCTTGTTGTGGCCTTTCAGTATATAAAGGGGGCTTGTAAGAAAGACAGAGAAAGCCTTTTTATCAGGGCCTGTAGGGGTCGGACAAGTGCTCACAGTTTTAAACTGAAAGAGGGTAGATTTAGATTAGATGTAAGGAAGAAGTTCTTCCCTGTGAGGGTGGTGAGGCAGTGGAACAGGTTGCCCAGAGAAGCTGTGGCTGCCCCATCCCTGGAAGTGCTCAAGGCCAGGCTGGATGGGGCTTGGAGCAACCTGGTCTGGTGGAAGGTGTCCCTGCCCATGGCAGGGGGGTGGAACGAGATGATCTTTAAGGTCCCTTCTGACCCAAACCATCCTATGATTCTATGATTTCAACTAATTATTCCCAGATTTCAGTCAACAAAGAGGACATTTTCAACTCTGAGTTATATAAAACTTTCAGGTTTTCCATTTTACCTTATTTGCTAGGCTAGGAGTCAAATACCTTACCTTCACTTTCCAATGATGACACGGGGAGAGAGATGGGACAATTAATGGAAAGAAGGGAAAGATCATTACATGCATTTTGGAGGCAAATTCAAAGAGGTTATTGTCCTAAAACTGAGGAACCAGGTGATTCTTACACAAGAATTGTGGAAGTATTAATAAAGGGCATCAAGCAGAAAAACGATAACATGACTTTACCACAGAGACACTATGTCAGACTACTTTGTCTAAAATATCAATGCTCTTGTCAAACAAGATATACTAGGCCTTGACAAAGGATAGAAGAAATTATTTGTGGGACTCTGAGTGACTAAATGGAACATTTTAAGGACAGGGCTAAAAAAATAGGACTTTTCAGGTTAGTGGGACTTTACTAGCAGAATTCTTTAGACATTGGTTTTTGGGATCATTCTTCAATATTTTCACTGCATCAACACAGAAAATAAAATCTCTATGCCAATGGACTATGCTGCTGACATCATGTTGGGAGGAACAACATAACAAGAACCACCACCAATGAAAACACAGTACCTTTCAGGAGGAGATGGATTACAGAAACGAGAAGTAACATAAATGAGACAAAATTTAACAGTAAGCGTCCACAGCAATGCCCTCTGGACCCGCATGGGCAGATCGTGACAATCACATTTTGTGCAACCTGCAAGGTTCCAAAACCGTTTGGAAAAAACCCAACCCCTTCCAAGTGTTTTGCTAAATAAAAGACTTAGTTGTAAAATCAGACTGGGGTGGAGGAAGAAGGGGGTTGTGTTTGTTTTGGTCAGAGGTGACCAAATCAGGCTGGGTCCCAAAACCACCTTCCTGCTCAAGACTAGGCTGAAACTCAAAGGTCTTGGCAAAACACCCTGACTCCAGAGAAAGGACATATGTCATTTTTGGAAGCATTCCAGGCAGCTCTGCTACACAGCATTCCTGACGTTCACTATCAGTCTTGGTAATAATATAACAAGGGGCTTTTTCATGCAAAGCCTCATTAAAAGGAACAAGTTGAATGGCAGTGCCGTAATGCTGTGCAAGATAAATATAATGCTTTTTAAAGCGTTTTATGCAATAAGCACCAACTTGTCTGAGTAGGTTGGGTAGCAATTTCATCACCCACTATGTTCACACTGCAAAGTCTCACTGAAATGAGTATGACACCTGCACTACTCATGTCAATATGTGTTTGCGTACCAAAATTATTTTAGTTATTCTAGCGTTACATAGCACAGAAAGAGACTCTTCAGAAAGACAGGAGAGGTGATGTTGCATGTCAAAACAAGGATATCCATCTAACTGAACCCAAATGGATGAAATGTCCAAGCAAAAAGACATCTGACTCGAGAGCTGCGGTCTCTTTTTTTACCCGGGGAGCTTTAAGCGCTACTGCACCTTCCTTTCATCCAGCTTTGTCTCAATATCACAGCTAATGTGGTCGTCCACGACAAAGCTTCAGAGAAGTAAAGACAGTATACCTAACAGCAGGAGCTACAATATCCCAATATCCAGGCACAGCTGGGCTGAGGACAAACTAAAGTCACCTTTTCCCTCTGATTCCCAGAGGCCTATTCTATTTTTAACTTTGTTTTCTTTCTGTTTGATCCTTTGGTTATTCTAATGTAGTTTCTGCATTTTTCCATTAATTCTGCCTCCATACAACACTCTAAGCAATACTACGAAGTGGGGAAGAGAGACTAACAAGCTCATAAAGCGATTGGCTCAGACTTCAAATGCACTGGCTAACTGGATATGTAACTCATAAAGGACGACAGAGGACGGCTGGATAACAATGCAGTGAGAGGAAACTAAATCTAAAAAAGCTCCAACTCCACTCAATTGAATGAACAACAGGTCTTTGATTTCACTAGCTCTGATATTCTGAAAATCATACCAATATATACGATCTTATTCTCAAGCAGGCATTCTTCTAAGCATACAAATGAAGAAGGAATGGCTAGTAAAAGCTCTGCAATTACTCTAAATTTGCACTGTAAACAGCATAACACCAAATCATAATTAAATTAAATATGAAACATTTCATTGTCCCCATTACATGAAATTCAATTTCAAGGAGCATTTATAGTAGCACCAGCAGCATCTTTTCACATTTTGTACATGGCTTTAAGTAGCTACCACACCTATCGAACCAAAACGGTGACACATACAGCACACGGAAAGACCAGACAAAAGAAGCACTTGAGGAGCAATTGCATTTGATGTGGAATCTCTGTAAAGACTTCATGGCTCAAATCTCCTGGGACATGTTAAACTGCAAGAAGTTGCAAACTCCTTGTGCACCCAACTCCATAGGACTGTGCACTATTTTGACCATTCAGTCTGAGGATTGTGATCACTGTTGTGCACCCCACTTCAAAACCTGACACAGCTTCATCCAGTATGAAATACTTATGACCTCCACAGGCTGAAGCATGTACTATCCTTTTATTTTCTAAGTAGAATAAAAGGAAAAACCTATTAAATATTTGGCTCAATCTTAGTGCCCTACATTAAGTCAAGAGTTAATAATTTATTAATCAGCATTCAAGAAATCTTTATTACATGTGACAGTTTTTGGAGGGGTTTTGCTTTCTTATTTAAAAGACCTTCAACAACAGTCAGCTAAGGAAATATTTTGACATACTGCTTTGACACGTTCCTTTGATTTGCATATTAAAGCAAGAAAAAGTTATGTGCTTTCACTAACACATATCATTTTCACATTTTTCAGGGCTAAGTAGATTTAAAATTTTTAGTTCTTGTGTAGAAGATTTTATGTTAGTGTGTTACCTGTTATGACTGTATTGCCCCAAAATAGGTCTTTTTCTTATAAGAACTCCATCTTAACAACATAGATAAATTGTAAGACTATCAGCATGCTAAATTTTCTTAAAAATGGAAAGAGATCAAGATTGTATGAAGGGGAAACCCAGTAAACAACCAAACACCCTATGTTAGTTTACTTTTGGAGACAGGCAAGCATGGAGCACTGGGAGAAAACCAAGAAGAAAATCTCTTGCTTCCTAATTTTCCACAGGATACCAGTACTCCGGTGCTGCAAGGCACAATCGCATTCATCGTTTTGTCTTAAAACAGATATGAGGTTCTTATGATTTATTTCAGCAAAGTGGAAACAAAGCCAAACAACGCAAAAAAGATACCAACAGCCACTCAACAAAGTGCAGAACAACAAAACAAAGTGCATCAAACTTCAGCTGCTCAACGAAAGGCACAGCTTCACTGCAAAGCTCCCAAACCCCCGGCCAGAACAGCAGAAACCTTTTAAAAAGGTGATTTCTGTGCATGACCGGTTGTACGGCCGACACCTCGCGCTGCCAGCGCTGCCCAATACCCGGGGCAGGGGCTGAGCGTGGTTTCCCTCCCACCGTCCTGGGAGACCTCGGGGCACGTCCCCCCCTCCCGGAGAAGCCCAAGGCAGTCCGGCAGCTCCGAAGCCTGACGGGTAGAGGGGACAAACCCGAACGAGCTGCAGGGAACAAGGCATGCTTTGCACAGGCTTCCGAGCAGGCAGTTTATTTTGGTTTGGGGAGAGCTGCTGCCGTCACGTGAGCGTAAAGCAAACAAAACCCACCACGTAATTCTTCACGAGTGGTCCTGGACCTGCAGCGGGGAAGCAGCCCACCTGAGTTACTACCAAAAAGACCAGGTCACAGCAGAGGCTCAGAGGACTGGCTCTCCCTCGGTAATACCCATTAATCTCCAACTTAGCGACGAGGGACTGCTGTCTTTATAGAGCTTTAAAAATATCCACCCGGCTTTCCAAAAGCACTCTGCAAGGGCTGCCACCACCCTGTCGCTTCTCAACACCAAGTGTTACAACAAAAGGTTTCCAGCAGACTCAATTAACTGCACCTGAAATCTCACCGGGTTTGCAGACAGACCCCGCTTACTTTGAGAGCAGCTGTGCCACTTCAGCTGCTTTGTATTGTTCACCAGCAGTCACAGCCAGATAAAGCCCTATCAGGGACCGACCTTTTAATACTCGCGTGAGGCTCAGATTCTAGCAAGGGAGGGATATCGTTTGTGTTTTGGGGGCTTAACGTTTTTTTAAAAACCTTAAAAGCATAACATTTATCACAACCAAAGGAAAATGAGGTTATGCAAAATACTTACTTCGAAAATGCTCTGAGGCATAATAGTAGACGTCCTCGTAGCCCTCGTGGTAATCCTCCTCCGGCCGGTACTTTTTGCCTTTTCTTCTTCTCGATCTCCTTATCTGCTTGACGAAGCCCAAGAAGCGCTCCATCTCCTTCCTCAGCAGCACCAGCCGGCAGCCCCCTTCGCCCTCCGCTTCACAAAGAGCTGTCCCAGCATGAACCGACCGCAGGCACCGGAGCAAAGCTGCAGCCTCCGACCAGCCGCTCCGGTACTGCTAAGAAACCCCTCCCTTATCTCAGCTCTGACTAGGAAGCATATTGTTTTCCCTTTTAAAAAAAAAAAGGGGGGGGGGGGGACTTTATCAAATCTACTGACTAGAATATTTCAACATGAAAATAAAGGAAGAAAACATTAAAGCTAAAGGAGAAAGTCAGGATTTCAAGCAGTTATTAAACAGCAGAGGACAAAGTTGAAGAGACCTGCCTGCCAGCAAGGGGAAGCCCAGCACTGAGAGCGCCCTGTCCTGTGTCTCCATCATTTGAAGAGGGGCTGGGAGGCGGATCGATGTTAGTCAATGGACTGAACCACATCTCAAGGCAAAACAGGTTTGCATTTGCCGGTTAAACCCTGCCCTCGTATTTACCCGGGCACAGGCTCGGGAGCCCGTTTGATTTCATTTGGTGTAGGAAGAGGAAACACGCCGATCCATTTCTGGCATCACGTATGCTGGATGAATAAATAGCAAAGTGGTTTAATCCATACACACAGCCCACTCACCGGCAAGTGTGTGCTGAATGTGTTAATTGGAGCAGCAGGGAGAAAGCTCGGCAGCTGTTAAAAAATGACACATATACCCACTGGGCATTAGTGTATTCTAATCACTGCTGGATCTAAACATTAAAAGGCACTCCACAGACAGGTCTCCTATAGAGCCGGCCAGGGTATATGGCAATAGGCAAACAAAGGGAGCGACATCACAAGCATACCGCGCCGATACTCCTTTAAAATCCCAGCAGAGTTTAAGAACTTTAAGGTACGGCAGACTATCCTTCGCACAGGATGGCAGGAGCAAAAAGCCTGAAAAGGGGCTGGCTCTCTTCTCTCACTGCATGCCTGAATCCCACACGCGTTCCCTAAGATAAGGCTGGAATTTCATCTGTGTTTCTGATGAAGTTTCCCTCCCGCACGAGAACAAAAGCAGTGCGTGCTCGAATCCTATCACATTGACATCTGCCACGGGGGGCGGGGGGGTTGTGACCGTGCTCCCGCCAGCCAAGTGAGGTCTCTGGTCCAGCAGGACCTCTCCTGTCTGCTGGCACAAGTCGGGGAACCATCAGTCAAACCACGTGCCGAACACGGTCACCTGCACCCATGCTCGCCCGAGATACCATTTTGCACCCATGAGCATAAGGAGGTCAGAGAGTCTTCCCGTTAAACAGATTTTACAGGATCATCATCTGGAAAATGAAGAGCACGCAGAGGTGGGATTAATTTCTGGTGATGCAGACATTTCAGTGAGTCATTTTGCAGAGAGCAAACCAGGGCAGTGTTTTTAAAAGCATAGAAGAAGTAAAGCAAAAGCCAAGATTACCATTTATCATTGTTTCAACAGAAGTATGCAGAGATTGATCAGAATTCCGCTGGGATTTTCTAGTTTTGAAACATGTAAGTTATTAGTAGAGGTCAGCTAGACCTGCTATGTGAGGGCCCTAAAACAAACACATACTGAAAGCAGGCACTGGAACTGTTTTGGGCTTGTTCCAGCTTCCCAGGCATTTTAAAACAATATTGTCAGAAAAACACATCCATTTTATCCATAAAAGCTCAAAAACCCCTGGATGCTCCTACCAAGCTCCCCACAGGAATACAGACTCATCCTCCTTGACCTTACCAGCCCCTGCTTTTCCACTGTGAAAATGCAGCCGCTGTCACTAGCTGATGAATACCCCAAGGGCACCACCAGAATTATTTTTAGTGTTAACTTCTATAAGGAGGTTGTGTTTTATTACAAGTCTGTTTGTATCACACAGCTTTCAACTTTCAAAGGGTAAACACCTTAGAGAAATATTACAGGCATATTACCAAAAATAAAAAAGCCAATAAAACTTTTTTATATGGATCTTTAAGAAGGGATCACTGTACGTTCTGAAGGTTTCAATTCACGTGCCTTTTCTGTGCTCTGCCACCAAGCAGCAAAAACATTACATTTTTATCATGAAACAAAAAACCCAAAGACTTAGCCTGCAGCAGAGGCAGCACTCTCTTTTCAGAGAGGGAAATATTGTTTTGATGCTGCATTTGCTCCTGTAGAACACTCTCCCCGACAGATGTGCAAAAAGTTATTCATAGGTGTCAGAAACATTCATCTTGAAGACAGAAGTCTTGCAGCCCTTGCTGTTCCCTAAAGTTAAATTATAAAGTTCAACTCAACATGATACAGCTACTTTTTAAAAAGGAGAAAATGTAGAACTTTCTGGCTTTTAAACTGTCCTCCAAACAAGAGCTGAAAACTGGAATTGAGCAGACACTTGGCTTTCATCAAGGAAATACGTCCTTCTCCAGCGCCGCTGCTGCTAAAGACGCTGCTGCTGCAGCAGAAGCTTTTGCTGGAGAAGCAGCTTCCCCGGTCCTGAGCGCACCCCAGGGAGACGTCGGTCCTTTCCCTAACAAGACCAACGCAGCAAATAAGCAGACAAGGGAGCAACCAAATGATCTCAGCTAGCACCATAAGCACCAGATGTAGTACACTGACTGCCTGACCGTTTTCTAGAAAGAACTGATCTAAATTTGGGTGAATTTTGAGCTTTGGAAAGCATGTCGTCACCTTGCGCAATGCACCTTCCCTGCTCTCCCCATGTTCACGAGGTGCATCACATTCATATACGGCTAACGTCGTAAAGCCGAAAAAATGCACTAAATGGTATTACCGGTCACTGCTCATGGTAATGGCTCCCACCTACCTTCTACGAAAACCATGAAGGGCTTGAGGGGGAGCACGAGCACTGCTTGGATCAGCACAGGGGCTTCAAGCTCTGCTGCCCTTCACTGTGTCCCACCAACTACTGTCTGCAAAGGACAGGCTCAACCTCCCACACCGAAGGCGCAGAAGCAGGCCCACAGTTTCTAACACACAAGCTGACGGTCTTGCCAGCATGTAAATGATACACCTGTTTCCTTTTGCATGAATACAAACAGCAGAGACCAACAATTGCAGCATTTTTTAATTATTTTTTTTTTAAACCTAGAACAAGATGAGCTTTTGATAGGATTTTACCTGCCCTAAAATAGTCTGATGTTTGGGGCAATTTAAAGAGAAGAAAATACCTTAACTGAGGGCAATGTTGTTATGTATTAATAGGAGTCAGAGTATTAAGTGTTTTACTGTACTATAAAGATTTCTGAACAAAACTTATGTTTCACACGCATTACATATTACCTCTGCTGCTTTGCTGAGAACACTGGAGACACTCATTAGCTACTCCTCATGCCATACCTGTAAATATTTTATCGTAGTCCTACTTTCAAAGGTATAAGCAGAGAATTCGGTTTCACAAACATGGTTTACTGTAGTTAGAACAAAAGACCCAAACAGTGAACTACTGCTTTCCCCATTGCTCAGGATTCACCCTTCTGCAGCTTCTTGTGGTGAAGAACTCATTCCTTCAAGGAAATGAACATGGCTCTTGCAACCTTCTGCTTGAAAAGGAGTAGAAAAGCAGAAACATAATAGACACATACTGCAGTTCCAAAAAGGCATATTGATTTTATGGGAGGAGCAGAGAAAGAAACAAACATTGGCTTTCAGATTTTTAAAACGCAAAATATCAGCAATGACAACAAGTTTCATCCCTTAATGACAAAGGGAATAGGATAATTGTGCCCAGAGGGCCTAAAATTAGGTGTCGGTTGATATTCTGAAGCTCTCTCTGAACTAGAATTCAGAGAATCAACTTTCTGGTGTTACAGTGCCACAACAGAAGTTGGAATGCAAATATGTCTCAAGCTCTTTGGCTCATCCTTTCTCCAGGAACACACCTACTCCAATCAAAGCAAGTGCTCTACTGCCATTTCCAAGGTGGCTTCCTTAGAAGCAGCAAGGATTGTCATGCTGTCTCCAGCATGATTTGCATAATAAAAATTTTGCCAAGATAATATTTACATTCTCCATTCTGATAACTAATTTTTTTTAAGTTAAGAAGAAGCTCTGTCAAACTGGATCTGTCTCAGGTCAGTGACTTACTGGAAAAGACTTCATGTCAGTAATAAAACAAATATGCCATTAAGACACTGTCCTTTTCAAATAGTCAAGCTGAGGCATAAATGCTTTTGCAGCCATGGATAATTCTCTATAAGACAGATGTCAGCATTTAAGCTTTAACTTGCCTTTGTACCCATACCAGAGATTAGTTCTCTCATCATGTAAAACACCTGCATTTAACATTTTACTTGGACAAAATTAGCTATGCAGTTATCCAGGTAAACTTTCACAGGTGACATACCTATTTTCTACACCACTTTTTCCAGTATTTGGTGAAAGCAGTAGAAAAGACATTTTGGTATCCAAGGATAAGCCGCTAAGGTAGTAAGTATTTACCAAGGATTTTGATTTGAGTGGGCTTGCAAACACGATGCTTTGAACCCAGAGCCTGTGTATGAAGCCAGCCTCTCTAACATTTTGTATCATAAACACAGAATGGAACCGGCACCAGATATTAAGTTCTAAGCAGGTATTTTGCATCCTGTTCATGAGCATGTTTCAGTGTTTACAAGAAAAACATTTCAGATGGAAGAACCCTCCTGCATCTCCCCTGCTTCTCTGGGCAGCCCCTACAAGCCTTCTGCTGGGGGAAGGAACGCTCCCACCGGGAGGCAACCCAACGGCAGCCGCAGAGACCCACCTGCTTCAGGTTACTCTCTTGGAAAAACAACCACAAAATTACCAATGCACAATACAAAAATTAAGATGAATGTAAACAGTTCTTGGAGGTTGGCTGAACACAGAAAATGGGTCTTTTCCCTCCTCCCTCAAGCCCCTAACCATGAAGATACGGCAAACCTCAAAAGGGAAGAACAAACTGTTTCTTCTCTGGCTCTCTTTCAACTGAGGATGTCTTTGATAATGTGCTGTCGTTGTTTCTGGAGACCGGC